CGAAGACTTATTCATTCTTGAAATCGAATCACAATCACTCCTTGACGAAGAAATCAAGCCAGCCTCCTCAATTAAACTGGTCTCCCCAGTCGTAACAAGATGCCACATGATTGTCGTCCCTGGCATCGGTAACCCCGATGAGGAGGAATATGAAGGTGGGAGAGAAGAAGGTTGTAATGAGGTAGCTCCGCAAGGGTAAAATAAATCTTGAGGTGTTTGTATTCGGATGTTTTGTGAAGTAGAGGTAGGAACGGAACCAGGTGTCTTCGTTATGGTTGTTGCGGTTGACGATAATGACGATGAAGGTAAGAATGAGGTGGTTGAAGACGGAGTAGTGGTTGAAGCGGGAACAGAAGAATCAGATGATTTTGATTTTGCCGATGTTCCAGTTGACTTTCTGGACGGGGTAGGAAGTGTGGATGACGATGACGACGAAGGAAATGATTTGCCATTGACACTAGTCGCGGACGGTGGTGGTGTGGGTGGTATGTTGGAAGGATCGGGGCTATGGTTCGTGCAAGACTCGGGGTTTCCCCGCCGCCGTCGTACAGGACTTGCGGATGCGGAACTGCAGACAGAGAATGGAGGTCAATGAATGTGAGGACAAAACGAGATGAGGTTTGACATCAGGTGAAACAACTTAAATAATTCACCTATATAACCCCATCCCAAAAGCGTTGATCATTGCCAAATTATCACAACACAGATTATATGTTGCGACATCGACAGGTGAGGCGTCAGAGGTGACATATAATCTTGAAGGTGCGTCGAACAGGAACACCTTGGAAGCTTGGGAGTTCTACAACATATGTATTATGAATGGCTTAGAATAAAAGGGAGAATCGCATACTAACCGCACAGTATATATTTAGCAGGTCCTCAAGGTACGGTAATGAGTCGGTCAACCTTTGCAGCACTTTCGAAAACGCCTGATGTAACGAATGGTCAAAAATAGACGTAAGATAGAAGTTCATGAGAAGTTGTTGTTCTATGAAATCCTGCCAGTTGAGATGATTCGAGCTATTCATTTGCGTGCCGCTAGAGTTGGGCGTATTCAAACTGGAATTGGAGCTGGAATTAGGGAGGTTCGGTAATGAAGGCGAGACATCCATTAGTCTGTCCATGACCCTTTCATTGATCTGTCTAAAGTTTTCAATTTTCTCGTCTTCTTGTAGCTTCTCCGCTTTGTGGACGAATATCTCTAGGTTGAGAGAAGGATTATGATGGTATGCGGCGATAATGAATTCGACGAGACGAGAGATTGGTTGATTGTAAAGGTCCTGGACGTATTTTTGAGTGAATACTTCAGGTCAAAGGGGAACTGGCATCGTACCCGGATATCAATAACGAATACAAGCGTAGAAAATATAGAAAGCGGAACACCAAGAGTTTCCACTGTTATATTTCCTGGACAGTCCCATATTTCCAGAGGTATGATAGTGCTAGGGTATAGTGGATAGTGAGATTGGGATCCTTTTAATGAAGAACAAATCGACCAAGGTTTTACGAGAACAAAGAGCAGAACAAGTTGAACAGAGAAGAGATCATTCGAAAGTTGCGACTCACTCATACGTGTGCTTAACAATCCTCATTGTAGCGTCCAGGTAGAATGTTTCCTTTGGAGTCATACTATTGAACAGAACCTGCTGGATCGACGTTTTACCACTTCTCCGTAAACCAAGTAGAAGAATCTTCGTCCGTGAAACGCCACTCGAGTCCAACTGATTATAGTGCGACATTTTAAGATTGCAATGAGTGAGTCTATGACCGGATTCTGGGGGTTGCAGAGAAAGACTTAAGACAGATGCGGAGCCGGAAGGGTGGAAGCGGATATCGAGAAAAGGTGTGACACCGTGACAGCCCGTCGTCCGAAATAATTTGTGTTCTTGCCACTGAACCACATCCTGGACGTTCAACTTTCGGCTTAGCTACTATTCGCGCGCGCAACATGCACCCTCTCCCTTGATATAATGCTACATACATTAGATCTCTTCATGCCTATGAACTTATAGCCAAAAAAGCTGGCAGCTTGTAGACGGGCTTTGCTGTAGCCCCAACAAAGGCTCGCAGTGTTTTCGCTTTCTCGAATCTTTGCAATGTATGCTATCTATTCAGTGTGGACTAAGTACGTGTTTCTACAATCTTACCAACTCAACGTCACCCTTATGCACAGGCGCCTTCCGACCTACCCGCTGGGGTGGCATCACTTTGGCCAACGCATGGTCCTGGCCGCTTCCGTGAACTAAGAGCTTCAGCTAACTGTATGACTCATGAGTTCAAATAGTAATTTTTATATTCGTTTTGTACATAACACTCCAACATTTGATGGATCAATAGCCTTGTCTACGCCTTTGTGCTCATCGCCTTCGTGTCGCTGGGGAATATCTGCCCACAGATCGGAATGCATATGTATGAGTGTCAGTGCACCGGGAGGGCAGTCTTAAATGCAGGATCGTAGAAATGTGCCAGAAATTATTCTCTCCTCTGAATCCAAAGTGAGGCACACCTCGGGATACATTCGAGAGCGGCTGCGTATGACATTGGCCTTATTCCTCTTCTGTCTTCGCACAAAGCTGTATAAGTCAATGCGTGGACTAGGCCCTGTCAATCTCCTATATGCAGGGTCACCGAACTACGCCAGGGATCAAGTAGGACCACTACGAGGGACTACGTGCTCCGGAAGTGCTGTGCTTCCGACAAAGAAACCAGGAATGGAGAGCTGAGCTGTGCCTAAGTGACAAAATACGACAGTCCTGCAGGGTTATTACATGACAACTATAATACGCTAACGATTCTGGGCATTCCGCAAGAGTCCCAAAGGATCGAACGGAGCTCAGTCAAAAGCTGGCTCAAGAGTTCATCTGTTTTCCGCCAACTCACTTTCTCATCCATGTCTCAATCTATCTTATCAAAGTAGGTTTAACTATAGTTGACACGCCTTGACCTCAATGCTAATCCAGCTGTTCTATGTAGGCTGACCGGTGCGTCCACTGTGCCCCCTACGAGCACAGAGGCTAGTACTTCAGATGATAAGCCGATCAGGTTCGTCGTCCGTTTTCTCCAAGTTCGATGTATAGATAACAGTCCGTCTAGAAAAATGACTATCCAGCCGCCGTGGACCAAGCGCGTAATTAATCTTATTCTTATCGGCGAGACTGGTGTGGGAAAGACCGCCATGCTGAACCTTCTCGCGAACGTATGCGCTGGTATCCCATTAGAAGAGTTCGAAGAGAAGAATAAGCTCAAGAACGAGGAAGGTGGATCTACATCTGGCAGTCAGACCAATCAGCCGCACCTTTACGATATTACCTGTGCCAATGGGTACAAAATCAACATTCTCGATACTCCTGGTCTGGCTGATACTCGTGGTGTTGACAAGGACAACGAACACAAGGAGGCCATCGCGAACGCAATCAAGAAGCATTTCGAGGTCATTGACGCGGTGATCATCCTCGCCAATGGTACTCAGGCCCGCTTAGGTGCTGCGACAGAATACACGCTCAAGACAATTTCCGCCATGTTCCCCAACTCCATCGTCGATAATATCGCATTCATCTTCACGATGGTGTCTACCCCTGCCTCCTTTAATTTCGATAAATCCTCCCTTCCGACAGAGTTAAGCAATTCTCGTATATGGGCGATTGACAATCCATTTGCACAGTGGTTGAAATATAAGAAGCTGCTCGCTCAGGATCCACCTGCTAGTGAAGAGGCTTTAGACGAGACGTCCGAGAGTGCTCACCGTGGATATACCAAGGCGCTGAGAGTGCTTTCACAATTCTTTCAGTACTTGGAAAAGTGCAAGGTCCAAGCAACTCACAGCATCTACGAACTTTACCTCATGTCAACAGATATCGAGTCCCGCATTTCCAATGTGATCGCCCGTATGAGCCAGACGGAGGATAGGCGTATGAAGCTTAAAAACCTACAAGATGATTTTCAGAATCAGGCAAGTCTTGACGTTCTTCATTGTCGAACAAATGCTCATGATGGGAATATGTAGGGGCATAAAATGTTGAGCGAAAAGTATGAGAGGATCATTAATACGCCTTTCTACGAACACGAAAGTACAGCGCCGGATCACAACACTCTCTGCGTCGCTGGAAACTGTTTCAAGAATTGCCACGAACGTTGCACTGTCGGATTCACTATGTCTCAAGAGACTCTTGCCAGGCTATGTGCCTCCTTCGACGAAACACCTGGTGTCGCGCTTCTTGAGCGTATCTGTAGAGATTGCGGTCATGCAGCTAAAGATCATCAGCACTACCAAGCGAAGTGGGTTCGAAGGATCAAGACGGATACGGTGATTGACCCGGACGTCAAGAAGCGGTACGACGCAGCAAAGACCGAGTCTGGGAAAATTGCTGGTTTGATGGAGACGGCGCAATCAGAGATTGAGCAGCTCGAACGAGATATCATCGAGTTTGAGAAAGAGCTTACTGATCTGTGCGAAAAGTTCAACAAACTTTCGCTCTCGGGAAGCTTCATTGGTTATATCTCCTCTGCAATCAGTTTGCTGAAACTTCGCGAGGCAGCTCTGAAGAAGGAGGGTACAGATGTGGAAGCCATAGAAAGGATGGCCCAGCGGATTGAGCGCTTGGAGAAAAAGCGAAAGGTTCTCGCAGAGGCTGAGAAGCCGAGGGGGAGAAGAAACTAGGACTTGGCGTCTATTTTAGAGTAGCGGTGAATAATCGATTTATTTTCTTTCATGGCATGTTCTTTCTGCAGCGTCTTCAGTTCTGGCCGTAGCCTAGCCTCAAAACATGTTTGTCTTTCTGTATAACGTTCGGAAGTGGAAATATATAGTATCGAGAAGGATATGAAGATCATGCTGCAGTTGTCAGATGCCCTTTTGTTCATAATATGTGCAAGGTTTGATGCTAGATGTCGTTCTGCATTTATGAATGTAAATTGACTTGATACGTGTCTATTAGTTGAATTATCCGGAACATTTCCTTCAAGTTTCTAACGCCAGATAAAAAATGTAAAAAAAAAATTATCGTCACCTGTGCGATTCGAACACACGCGGGCAAAGCCCAACCGCTTCGGACCTACCAAAGGTAGCAGGCGATCCCGTTAACCACTCCGGCAAAGTGACTTATTTTGAAGCTAACCAAATAATTTATACATTGGCCTTCTAGGTTTTCCACTAATGCTTGACTACATATCTAATGAGCTAGTTGACAACGCTTGAACTCGATGAACAAACTTGACTCTGTCTCAATTGAGGTACTCAACAAGGGAGAAAAAACCTGAGAAACCGTTAACCACTCCGGCAAAGTGACTGGCTTTCCATGAACGACCGTGTGCTTATAAGCGATTCGTACAAGGCCTTTGATTGTGTCTAAACCCATATCATTGAGGTCGGAACTCACCAATTACTTGTATAGATCATGTTCAATGATATATCTTCTTACATGCTCGGGAACCATTTCTCTCCATTGGCGACGACCTCCTTTGCTAAAGCCACCCTCCCCGCTTGACTTCTCTGTCGCTCCACTTTCCTTCCCAACACCTTCTCTAACATCACTTGAACTGACACTCCACACATCCTCCCCAATGTCAATTATTGATATACATGAGGATGGAAGAGCAGAGGAAGCAAGGAAATTCGATATCGTTTGAGAGAGGGAGTTTGTCTCCGATGCAGAATTGGGCGAAGGAATTGATGTATGTGGGTAGGAAGAGGTATTTCGGCGCGCACAAGCAACACAGGAGCCATCACCGTCAGACTGACTGAAGAAGCCTCGTAAGGCTTTGAACATCTTGTCCTCCGAAGCGTCGTAATATTTCAGAGCGAACAGTCTCTCCAGTGTATCGAATCCTAGTATAAATGTTAAATCAACTTCAGGTGTTAGGCTTGAGCTAATTGAACGAAGTCGTTCCTTGAGGAAAATCTGAAGAAGCCTGGATTTACCGACAAAAGTGGGTTCGTCGATGATTGCTACTGCAATGTTATCGTTCGACCCATTCCCATGGCTGTCTGCGTCTCGGAGATCCTCTGCGAGCTGAATCATCATCTCGATTCGTTGAGTGTACGTCGCATCGCCTGGCTTCAATTGCTTGTCTGCATTCCTGACAGAGAGCAAAAGCAATTTCCCATCATAGTCGTCGCTGCTATCCGCATGTCGCGGTCTGCGTGTGTTTGCCAATGCACAATGAGCAACTGTTGGTGGATTGAAAGAGGAGTCTAGAACAGAAATGTTGAGCTTTCTCTGCGACAGCGCACGACTGGAAGGAACGGGCCAGAGTGGATGGGATGTCCATATGATTTCGACAGGGGGATCAACAGAGCCTAAGTGTTGAAGAGAAGAAGATATGAAAGAGGATGACGGTGTCGAAGACATTCGGAATGCAAGGCCTTTCAATGAAAGTAATCGAAAGCTGTGAAGCCCTGCAGACATGCGTAGTAACTCAAGAAGATGTCATGGAGCCAATAACAGTCATCACATCGTGGGTGGCATCAAATTCCTGTACATGTATTGTGGCCATGGGACAGCTTGAGTCAAGCTCATCAAACCTTTTCTTCATCCCCCCACTACCTTTTCCGTGATGCCCCCTCGAAACATTGCGAATGTTGTTCCAACCGTGAATCACATCACAACCGTTGGCGTGAAAAGGACATCATTTGGAAATGCAGGTCGACCTTTACCAATCTTCGTTAACGCCTTCGAAACGACGATACCCCAAGGAATAATTTACCACTATGACAGTATGTTCTTCCCACTTCCATATCCATAGAAATGCAACGACGAACTTGTGCCTTCTCCTCAGTCGGTTTGTTGACCTTATCAAGTTGTTGCATGTGCTCGCGTTAATCAGAGACGCGTCCTCAGTCATCCACCCAGCCGATAAGACGCTTCCAGCCCGTCTTAATATGGATTTGATTCGTGCGCTCCAAACGCGTATTGCGCCTGATGTGTTCACGCCACTTGGCGTATACGACGGACGAAAGAATTTCTTCAGCTCTCGGAAATTACCTCTGGGACCTGAGGATTGCAAAGAGGTGGGCTTTGATCTGACCATTACTGTGGCATGATACACATCTACTGGTCATTTTCTCAGTTCGAGGTCACGCTTGAGACTGCAGACGACAGTCCAAAGGGAAAAGGGCCGAAAGTGTACAAGATTCGCTTTAATTTGGTTGCGCAGATCAATCCCGAGTATGCTATACACTTACAATTCAAAGCATGTCGGGCATGTGCTCAAAACTTTGCTGTATCTCAGAGTTCTCCGAAGATATATTGATGGAAAGCAATCTCAAGATAATGCAGTGTTGACCGCGATCACGGTATGAATTTCTCGCTGAACATAGTAGGTAGTTGAACTTGCAAATACTTTTTGACCAATAGGCCCTCAACGTTGTCATCCGCATGGAACCCTCACAAAGATTCCCGTTTAACGTTCGTTCATTCTTCACCGATCAGGAGAAAAAGGACATCGGATTAGGTACGATTGCGCCAACATAGTCACTTCATTCGCACTTATAGCTCTTACGTCCGCTACTAGGACTCGAGCTCTGGAGAGGATATTTCCAATCTGTTCGCCCAGCGTTAGGTAAGATGTACATCATCGTCGACACCAGCACTGCGACCATGTACAAAGCCGGACGGCTGATCGACCTTTGCCTCAACTTTTTCAAAAGAATGGATCCAAAAGTCCTAGCCCCGAAAAACGGCTTGCCTGATCGCGAACGTCTCCGTCTTCAGAAGTTCATTTCAGGCATACGGGTGATCACTAACACTTCGGGTGATCGCAAGATAGCTCGGGTGGTGAAGAAGCTGAGCTCTGCTGGAGCTAGTGCGTTGTCGTTCAAGGTGAAGGAGGGAGAAACCGTGACTGTTGCACAGTACTTTCAAAATGTGCTGAACCGCCCGTTGCAATATCCCGACTTGATTTGTGTGGAGGTTTGTGTTGATTTCATTCAAGTACCAGAATAGAACTAACGAAAGTGTTTTTGCTTTCTCCAGATTGGTTCCGGTGCTCTCATTCCACTCGAGCTATGTGAGGTTCCTCCTGGACAGATCATGAGAAAGCAGGTGCCTCCGGAGAAGACGAAAGACGTCGTAGAGTTCGCGACCAAGAAACCACAAGAGCGTCTTAGATCTATTGAGGCCGGGCTTCAGGTATGGGGTCAATGTACTCTTCGTTTCGGAATTCCAATTTTACGTTCCAGGTACTCGCCTACGGTCAATCAGATTATGTCCGGAATTTCGGAATGTCGATCCCTCAAACGAGAGCGACAAAGATCCAAGCACGAGTGCTGAACCCTCCTGTATTGAGATATGGGCAGCGAAGTCAGCAACCCACAATTGTATGTGGTCAATTGTCCCTTTTACAGGCTGATCTCTCAATTCATCCGTCTTTCATCTCCTTACAGACACCAGCAAACGGTCAGTGGAATATGTAAGCATTCCAATTCATATATGGTACTTTGTAGCCAATCCATTGATTCTCAACATTTGAAGGCGCAACAAGCAATTTTTCAAACCGATCGAAATCCTTCATTGGGCCATCGTCATTTACGTATGAGGTTCTGCTATGCTTGTGGTTCAACGTTGATTTTCTTTCCTTCATTCTATAGGAGCGCAAGCAACGTTTCAACGACCAAGCCGCTACGGAGATGAGTCAGGGTCTGTGTAACAGTGCTCATGACGTTGGTCTGTATCTTTCATTGTTCTCGTTTAGCCTTCGAGTAGCTTAGCCTGTTTTTTTTCTATCAGGCATGAGTATGACACCCACCCCTATTGTCGCTTGGGAGAATGGTCAAGGCGATATCGCTCAACAGCTGCGAGATACAGGGAGTAAAGTGTTCACCAGATACCGGCAATATCCAAAACTCATCGTCGTCGTTCTGCCTGAAGGTGGCAATGAAATTTATACTGCTGTCAAACAGTAAGTCTAAGTCTTGCATGTTCGTGTGGCTTGTATCACGAATCAAGAAACTGGTATCAGCTTTGGAGACATCACAACGGGCGTTGCTACTCAATGCCTGAAATCCTCAAAGTGCTCCCGCGCCCAGGTGCAGTATTTCGCCAACGTTTGTTTGAAGTGAGCATGCAGTCAAGCTTATATTTCCAAGCTGAACCCTACTACGCTAGGATAAATGTCAAACTTGGGGGAATAAATGCTATCCCAGATCCGAGTTCAGTGAGGGCCCTAGCGGATCCTCAAAATCCGACCATTGTTATGGGTAATCGCATCCCTTTTGCCCTTCATGACTTGGAAACTTATCATATCTTTCCTAGGTGCTGACGTTATACATCCCGCACCTGGCTCGCATGGCCGCCCCTCTTTCACTGCGCTTGTCGCGAGCGTTGACTCAGACAACGCAAAGTACGTCGCGGATTGCGGAGTGCAAACATCTCGCCAAGAGATAATCGAAGATTTGGAAACGATGGCCAAGGTTTGCTGAATCACTGCAATCACTTTGATGTTCCTCAAATTATCTGTAGAACATGCTCAATATGTATATCGGCTATCGCTCAACAGTCGAGCACAAGGGTCCGCAGATTGCGCCTCCCAAGCGTATTATTTTTTACAGAGGTTTATTGTTTTGTGCTTTCCTTACTTCTCTTACTCAAATATCTGCAGATGGAGTCTCGGAAGGTCAATTTAAACAAGTCTTGGATCAAGAATTTGTGGCACTCCAGAGTGAGTGATCCTTTCGCGAATTGGCTATCTCTGCTAACATTGCACTACTGTCGGTAGAGGCTTGCGCTGCACTAAATATTAAGCCAAAAATCACTTTCATCGTTGTCGGAAAGCGTCACCACATCCGGTATGTTTCGTTTTCCTCTCCGTGTATCTAGTTACACACAGAACTCGTTCATCCAGATTTTTCCCTACGTCTGCGAAAGACGCTGATAAATCTGGTAATTGTCCTGCCGGAACAGTGGTTGACAAAGAAATCGGACACCCAACCGACCTTGACTTCTATCTTCAATCGCATGGCGGTTTGTTGGGAACAAGTCGACCAGCTCATTATTCGGTATGTGGCAAGTACTTAGCAATGTTCATCCCTGCAATGAACTTCTTGAAAACTAGGTCCTACACGATGAGAACAATTTTAGCCCTGATACTCTCCAATCATTGTCA